ACACAAAGACAGGGGGAGAGGAGAAAAAGTGCACAAAAAGTAGCTAGTTAATTTTTTATTTGTTGATAGTTTGCTGGTCATATTCGTTCATTCCTTGATGTTTGGAGCCTGTTTGAAGGAAATATTGAAAAATCAATTTTTCTTTGAACACATTAAAACTTGCACGCGCGCACGCACATAACAGACACCGACTTTTTTTTGCAGTGGACCAGGACATCTGTGGTTAGCTGGAAAACGACAGGAGAATGTATACTGAGTTCCAAAAATTGAAAAACGATAAAGAGTAAAAAACAATAAGGCTATAAGTGGTCATACAAAATGTATAGTTTTTTAAAAAAAATACATCACATGAGTATCCAGGTGCATCCACGCGCTCTTACGAATGTCCTACTGGACATACATGAACATACATGAAGTAGCGGAGTAGCGTAAGGATGAGTCAAAATGTTCCCTTGCGATGTCACACGAGCTTGACCCGAACCGAACCGAACGCTGGAACCACGCTGCTCAGTGGCCGCTTGAGTTCACCCCTGCCCTGTGTCACAGGCAGCGCAGCCACGAAGCATCATGAGCAGTTGCACAGCTGGAGGCTGCTGAGTTGTTCCTTCTTTTAAAGACCTGTTGAAATCTGTTGACCAATTTTGTTGCATTTTTGTTCCTAGTATGGGGTCCAAATGGTCCAAGTGGCCGGCATGAAGTGTGAAAGATGTGAGAGGGATTGATACAGAGCAAAGAAGGCCAATACCAAGCACGGATGTGCATTCCAGGGTTTTAAGTTTCAAGATGCTATCCAAGTTGGTGCACATGTTGTCATTCCAACTTTCGCAGTCCCAGATTCCCAGGCACCTTGGCCGAGTTGATGGCGAGCCGTTTTTTCGCCAGTGGCCGTGGGTGATCGGAGTGCAGCGCGGAGATGCAGATTTTTCCGACATGTTTTTTCCAAATGTGGATAGCACATCTCGCCGCATTGACAGTTGACATGAGTGTTTGAGGGACTCCTTAAAAGTTGACACTTCAACCGTGCTGAGAGGGCAGTTGACACTTCACTCGCATTCAAAATGCGCTGGTTGTGAAGCACCTGTGACAGCATCATGCTGTTCGCCCTCCCGGAAAAATCAACGACCCGTGTCGGGAGACTCGGGGCAATCATTCTACAAGAGATTCGTGTCCGTAGCGACAGGTCGGAGCGTGTCTTGCTTGGCTTTCCAGTTGCAGCAGGTCTGACAGGAAGAACAAGGAAGAACAAGGACTCTCCAATAAGTCTACCTAGCATTTCCAATGGGTGCCCTGTCTGGAGACCTGTAAGTAGGGTAGGGTAGTCTATTGGACACCCAGACAGGATGACCCTGGTATATACTTTCCTCGGGCTCAACCCATCCCAACCCTCAATTCGGATGAGAAAGCGCTCTCCAGCTTCCGGGCTCATTGCTCAGTCCAGAGGTCGAATGAGGAAGCTTCTTGCTGAAGACAGAATCGACCGGCAAAACTTTTCCCCGGCCAGTATTGCTGTTGTGCAGTAGATGTGGGCACTCCATGCCGTCAACCTGTGCCTGAGGAAAGCCAACCTTTTTCTACACAATAATTGAGATGGGCGCGACGCACTCAAGCCAGATCGCACTGCCATGGTGCAGAGGCTTCATTGCAGACAGATAAAAGGACCTACCATATCTACAGTTTCATTTGCTCTCACTTACTTGGTATACCGGTCATGATCAGACCCCAAACCGCAGTCAAGGCTCATTCTGATGTTGCATTCATTTATATATATATATATATGCACGACCATCCAGCACTCCATGCAATTGTTCATGGCTTTGCCCCAATGAAAGCTTTGCACGGCGTTTTTAGTCTTGTGCGGCTGGCCGTGCCTCAGACGAACACACAGCGAACACGGTGACGAACTCTGTCAACCCTCGCTGTGTTTTTGGGTCCATGACCAGCCCAAGTTTGGCACTCATAAGAGTCGCCATGCGTGCAAACCTGTAGTACATTGGGGGACAGAGTAAGGGCTCCTCCTGTACCTCCCATGACATTCGCATGCTTTCGCTACGATTGCTGGGTGTCTTCCCACGCGCTCCCCACAAATCAATTCATGACTTAAGTGTTGTCAGACTTTGCGTCCTTACAATTGGATGTATATATATAGCTTTTTGTTGCATCTCGATTTGCCAGTTAAGTTAGATTAGATGATATTAGATTGATGATTCTCTCCCCGCGTAGGTTCAGTCCAAGCTCCCATCTTGTTTGAAGGCAACCCGTTTCCCAAGACACTCACGTGTTGTTGCCTAAAAGTTTTTCAGTGAAGCCTCGAAACGGGTTTTAACTCTATCAGACTTCAAGAGGACTCCTCTATCAGACTTGGGGGGCATACCCGACCGGCTGGGCCCATCATGGACCTCTCACGCAGAGTGTACCGGTGTCAGCCGAGACGAAGTGCACCTGTGTGACACGAAGCTGCTCCACCCTGCAAGTGGGGTGGACTGGCTGAAACGGCTGATGCAGGGAAATCCGTTTGGAGCCAAAACGTGGCTCCCCGTGTGTGTAGCTCCACGTAGCAGGTAACCTGGTTTTGGACTTGGATCATATTGAACCATCCTTACTCGGGATGTTTTTGTCAATGTTCCATCCTATGGGGATGATAGCGGATGATAGGGTTTGGATGGGTTGGTTTTGTTTCAGGACAAACTTCTGGCCCCTGGCATTTGCACGGCACTGGGGCATTTAAATTCCTTGGGCATGGTCTCATTTCAGCTGCGCAGAAGATCCATGCCGCACGCCTGCTTCCAGTTTCATGCTCAGCTCCAATATGTAGGATTTTCCCTTTGGGCCATTTTTGTCCATCTTTGTTTCATGATCAGCTCGTGTTTTCCCATATGTTAATTCATTTGCACTCCTTCGCACAAATCCATTTGCCTTTTGGTAGAATCAGTCCAATCCCCCCAATCACGTCACCCCTTTTCTCCGCTCACGTCCTGAGGCCATAAGGGTCACCTTTGAAACGCAGGTGATCCAATTGGGCAGATGCCCGGTCTTCACTTATTGCTTGGGGCCCCGGTGGCCGTTGGTTGAGATGTTTACGCATTGCCGAATGAGAAGCGTTCCCCCTTTTGACCCATTTCAGCCCGTTTCTTTGATTGTTTTCCCATGTTTTCCACTTTCAGCCCCGTTCCTTTTGATTGTTGGTGTCCTTATTTGATTGATTTCCTTATGTATGTTATTATATATGTTTTTTGGGGTCCGCGGCTGATACGCCGCCCCTGCGCTTGTCCCATACGTCATGGTTCGGTTGTCGGGTGCGGTGCGGGGGTAATGACGTGCTTGTAGCAATGTATGCAGTTATACGTACCTCACTGTGTCTTCCTTTGTGTATTGCAACGTGGTTTTCAAGTACAATTGCTTCTATGCAACATCCAAATCTACTGCAAATGCCAACAACCAATTGAGGCAACAACGACCTTCAAGTCGAAGGAAGAACACTTTCCCACATGTCATTTTGAGTGAATGAAACTGGCGCATTGAGTTGCAAAGTGTTGCGAATTGAGAACAATTATCATGAAATAATTCTTGGCTGAACTTGTGGATGTCACGCGCACGCGCGTTTCGCTGACCACATGATTCACTGGGGCCTGCAGGTTTCCGCAAGTAAAACCAAGGCGTTCGCTTCATTGTCCCACCACACCGGCCCACTTGAGGATCCTCCCACCTCTGATCCGCCAGTTGTTTTTTGTAGATGCTTTTCGGTACCTAGGCAGCCACATTGATTGGCAACTTACCTGTACGCCCGAAATCCTGTATCGGTTGGACCAAGCGCGAAAGTCGTTTTGGAAGCTGGCTTCCTCTGTTTGGGATGTTCGTCAGCTCTCATTAGAGACTAAGCTTCGCGTCTACCGTGCCTGCGTCCTCTCAGTACTTCTGTATGCGTGTGAAACTTGGACGGTTTGGTTTCAGATGCGCCTCCGTTTGGAAGCCTTCCATATGCGGTGCCTCCGTAAAATTTGCAGGGTCAGCCGTTGGGATCAGCAGACCAAGGGTATCTCCAATGACCAGATTCGAGGTTTTCTCGGGGTTCCCTCCATTATGTCCTTAATTCATCAGGCTCGACTCCGATGGATGGGGCATCTTGCCCGCATGCCCAACGATCGACTGCCCAAACAAGCCTTGTTCTCTTTCTTGCCCCAAGATGTGGGTGTGCACCGAGACCCTGGCCTCCAGGGAGGCAAAAGGCTGCGTGATGCGTTCGCAGACAGTCTTAAAGTTGCCGGCATTCCTCTTACCGGTTGGATGCAGCTTGCCAACGAAGATGGTGGCGTCCCCTGGAAGCGCTCAACTCGTATGATTGCTTGCTGGTTCCGCCCGTTTCCCCCCCGTTCCGAGGTCTGACGTGCCAGTGCGTGACGCTGAGCTGGCCGCCATTCATAAGGCACCTGTTCCGACCAAGGCTAAGGGGCGAGTTGCGGAACTCTCCCGGGCCTCCGCTGAACTTGCACGCTATGCTGCGTCTCATGACGGTTTCCTCAGTTGGGAACAAAGCCTGGACCCGTCTACCTCGCCTTGGCTAGAGCTCGATACCGTCGCTTCCTCGGCTTTTGGCCCCGAATGGTTTTCGCTGCCCGTCTCCGACGTGGTTGACCAGGTCATCTCGCTTCGTCCGGACTGGGACAAGTTCTTCACGACCGGCGCCGATTTGCATCTTTTTCGTATGCTTGTTTTCTCCTCGCAACAACTAGCTGCCAACCGTTTCGCCGAACCGCTCGCAGTCTCCCCGCTTCCACCTGCTTCGAAACGTTCCCGCCTGGTGGTCAAACAAGCCCGCCCGCCCGCTTTCTTTCGCGCCGTGCTTCCGCCCGACCGTGCCGCTGCTCTGACCGACCGTGCCGTTGATAAGTACTGGGCTGCACGCCCGGCTCCGGAAGGCGGTCAAGGCCCCCATGAGTGTCCGCTCCCGGGTTGCGGTCGTAGGTTTACCACTAAAACCGGGCTCTCCTGGCATATTGCCAAATCCCATAAGCAGGGCACGTACCGAGATCGTACTTGGAATTGCCCTCACTGCCCCCGCACGTTTGAACTTGAGGATGGCCTCACCAAGCACTTGCCCTTACATCAGCCTGGCGCTTCTCCGGTGATTTGCTGCGATTGTGGCGCTTGCTTCCCGGGAAAACCAAGTGCGCGCATGCATATCAACCACGTGCACCCTGCGTCTAAGGTTGCGTTACCGTGTTATTGCCCCTATTGTCCTCCCTCAGAGGCCCCTTGGTTAACTTCGCCGCACATGTTCTCCCTTCACCGGCTCAAGGCTCACGTGTACGTCTAGGTCCGGTTTTCTAGTGTCTACCCCGCCCGATGCTATGTCTGCTCGCCGCTCGTCGCATCGCGATGATCGTCGTGACGCTGGTGGCGGTGGAAGCGGCCGGGTCTCTCGCGATGACATGGACCGGCTGGCTGACCGGGTGGACCGGATGCATGGTCTGCTCGACTCCACCGGTCGCCTGGCCTTACAAACAGCACATCGGATCGGCAGCGCTTCAGCACAACGTTCCCTTGTCTTTTTCTGTAAAGGAGGAGTCAAGCAGGACCTTACCACAGCCTGGGCTTCATGGAAGTCCACTTCACGGCTTGCCCCTGGCGATCGGCCTCCTGTTAGGCCTACTCCATGGCGACAGCAGGTGGCAAATCGCTTCCTGGCCTACGTGGCCACAGCAGGGAGGGAGACCTTGGAACTGGCAACCCATCTGGAAGCCCTTCAAGCGCTGCCAATGGCAGTTGAAGCCATTTCCCATGGCGAGCCTCCGGAGAGTGACGCCTGGCCCATTGTGGTCACCTTCCGGAACTCGGAGAGTGCTTTCCTGCTGCGGGAAAACCTCCTGCATGAGCGATGGCGCCCGCTCCAAGGTCGAGACAAAGAGTTGGGCTGGAGGCCTGCCCGACACATGCCCTCTGGGCCTGCTCGGGCAGTTCTTCAAGGGCTTGGCCTCGACAAAGGCGGTGGGAAGGGTAAGCGTAGGAGTCCCAAGCGGGAGGGGTCCGACTCCGCACCATCGGCTCCAGCTCGCCGGCAACGTACCTGAAGGACATTTTTTGCCGTTGTGTCGTGTCGATTGCTTGCTGCCACTTGCAGTTGTTTGGTGTCGAGAGGTGCTGCCCTCTCTGACTTGTTACCAGAGGGTGCCGTCCCTCCTGGTTTGGTTTGGCTGAGGGGGCCGTCCCTCAAGCCTCTGCTTGCTGCCCTTGCTGCCGTTACGGTTTCCCGGCCGGATTGCTCCCGTTCTACATGGTGGTCCTTCGTTTTCCTCGCCTAACGTCCCGGTTGTTTCTGCCTCTGGGGTTTCGGGTTGCTGCTTTTGGGTCGCTTGTGTGGGTTTCCCTCTGTTTCTTCTGTTTGTTTGTTTCCCTCCTCTTCCCCCCTCTTCCAGCTCTGCTGACAGTTTTGGGGTGGGGCTGAGCTGTGGGTGCTGGGGCGCCGTTGGCTGCGGGCCCCCTTGTTACCCTCTCCTCCCCACTTTGTGGTGTATTTGGGTTGCTTCTTGCGGTTAGCTTGCCTTGTTCCACTGTTTGCTCTGACCGTTTACTGGGTCTGCTGACGTTCAGGCACGTTTAGTGCCTACGTACCATTGAGTTTCACTCGGTTTGGTTATTCTGTTGCTTTTTTGTTTTGCAGGAGTGTACGCAGGAATGCCCGCTACGGGCGATATCCTACTACCACGCAGATCACTTATCATCAGACCTTCAAGAACACTTTTCCGAACTTTTTTTCTTACTCTCCTGACAAAAATGAGCATGTCAATGCAGCGAAACGCTCGACGCAAGCATATTTGTTGGGAAAGCGTGGGAAATTGGATGCACCGGCAAAGACACGTCTAAAACTTGTAAATACCAACAAAAAGTCCACAGACAAGAAAACAACTCAAAAACGAGCATACAGTTGCAGGGTGGCATATCCGACGTGTCCCTTGTCTTTTGGAATCTTGGTCCTGACCTGACTTTCAAAGATCCAAAAATGGTGCAGCGTGGGCCTCAAGTGGTGCGTGATGCGTCTTCATTTGCACGTCTTTATTTGATCAGCTCATAGACCGTGGTTGCCAAGAATGGGTGGCCATGCATGGATTTTGACGATGGACCGTGTAGCTTCCGAAAGGCCAAGCTTCTGATGAAGGCCGACCTTGTCCGCGGCCATGCCACCAAGAGGCCTGTGCCTTGTATCCCGGTGACAGCTTGGCAGTGACAAAGATACCACCCGAGAGGTATGATCAATATGGAGAATATTGTTTTTTTGTATGTCATTATATCCGTCTACCAAGAGTCCTAGGGGTTCTTTCTCTACAGCTCTTTGGGGCAAAGAGTGGCCCCCTCATACCACTTGAAGAATCATGAGACAAAACTAGCTATAGTATCATAAGAGGGCAGCCTTGACTGTTGCCAGGCTGTTTGACCGGAAAGTCTTGTGAGCTACAGAAACCAGTCCCTATCCGAAAGGTTTTGTTCCCAACTATATAATTGTAGTTTTCGATTTGAATTGTGAGGTACTGTCAGGTGCAATTTCACACCACGTCAGTAGCTTATCTACATGCTGCCAGGGGCAAGATCCATTGACTGCGTTGGCAGGGCACGGGCTACTGTGGCCTGCACAGCAAGCGTTCTCATGGTGAACGATGTGTGGGAACACAGGCAGGCGAATAGTCAAGTCTTTGTTAATCTAACCAGTGAGCAGTCCGAGAAAAAAGGGGTGGATACAACATGACATGAACCAAGGGGCATTTAGATGACAGCATAGATTTGTTGTGTTTCGCTGCAGGTAAAGCTAGCCATCAACCAAGAGAGAGAGAGAGAGTAGAACTTGAGAGTACTTGTGTGCCATCTCATCTAGTACTTTGTGACCCTCTGCCGAATAACCCCTATAGAATGGGGGAGGTCGAGCTCCAAAATGACCTGGCATTTTATAGAGATTTTTTCTAGAATCAAATGCCAACCTACCTGAGACAGATCCACTCTGAGGATCTCTGAGGTGAGAAAATCATATATTGATGGGCCAATAGGTTGATCATCCTCATTTTATAGAAAATACAAAGAATTTATGACAATTGAGGACATTTTATAGAGGACATGGTTTTGATTCTATAGAGGGAACCTGGAACAGTAGAAGGTTGAGAGTTTACTTTAGAGTGGATGGATGTTTTACAGTGAGGCAGGTTGGATTCTGATTCTGATTTCACGAAATATCCGGCGCATTCTTGTGCAATCTGGTGCATGCATTCCCACATTTCCTGTGGAACAACCGGTGAATATTGGCCTTTACAGTGAGGCAGGTTGGATTCAGATTCTGATTTCACGAAATATCCGGCGCATTCTTGTGCAATCTGGCGCATGCATTCCCACATTTCCTGTGGAACAACCGGTGAATATTGGCCCACTATAAAACTATATTTGTTCAAAATTCAGCCCACCTTTCTAAAATAAAAAATCTACCTGTGAGTGTCCAACCCTGCCCTTATAAAATGAATATCAACCTCTATAGACATATCTTGTTTTTGGAGTGTCATTTTCTGTCCATTTTTTTATTAAAATGAATTTCAACCTTGCAATGTTCAATCATGTTTCTATAGAATAAAATGCCAACCTCTTTTGCCATTGCTGCGTAACTTTCCTCTAAAATAATATGTCAGCCTTGATGTTACACCCACTTGTCTATAGAATGAGGACCACCCCTGGCTGTTTCTATTGGATAATTCAGATTTTGAGCCTACAATTCTGTTACATTAGTGCCTTAAAGGTTGACTCCCTTTATTCTATAGAGAAACTATGCTGTACACTACAAGGGTTGAAAGCTAGATTCTATAGTGGGGCATTGTGCTCCCAGAGCCTGGTTCAGTCATTTATCACTATAAAATGGGGTTCTCAACCCCCACCGGTTATTCCACAGAGGATACTTTGTGTAAATGTCAATTTTCTAGTGCCGTTGCTCTCCAGGTGTCCCAGAAACGCCGGAAGTTGGGATCCTGAGGTGCGTACAGGATGGCGGAACAGATTTGGATGGGAACTTTGGGGACTGCAGTTGCTTGTAGTTTGGCAGACCAGTGTGCTACACACCTGGTTATAGTTTAGCATAGTTTCGGCCACAGAAGGCACGTCATACCATGAGATAGAGACAGAGAGAGATGAATGAGTGCAGAAGGGGGTCGATTGTGATGCATTGCATTTCATGTTGCACACGCTTTTTGGGCCTTCGTTGTTATTGATATGGGTTTAATGCATGTCTTGTGGTTTCTTGGGGCATCAAGCTGAGCGCTTAAAGATCCATCCAAAATGTCATTCACGGACTCGTTTGCCCACCGGCCCAGAGCGCCCGAACAGCCCACGTGTTGTCCACGGCATTTCCAGAGTTCTGGAAATGGGTTTTCCCTCGGGTTGAGTCGGGTGGATTTGCTTATTTGGATGCCCCTTGAGGGCTCGGTGTCGATCCCAACAGCAACCACCGAGGCTGTGACGAGGGGCCCGCGGTGCCTGACCGTCCGAGAATTGGTGAACGCAGAGCGTGGTCTGTTCAGAGTCCTTCATTAAAGTAGTGTCAGAGTGCACAGATCTCATCAGATCTCAAGATGTCCTTGACATGTTACATGTGGGTTCAATGGGGTTCATATTTATAAACCGCCTCTTGCGGTCTGTGCCATCTACTCTTCAATCCACCATCACATGTTCGTTCGATGGAGGACATCACGTCAGGGCGAACCGGCATCCGACCCGAGCACCGCCGGGTAGACCCGCTGCGATGAACACCGGGGTAGACCCGCTTCTGGGGGAGCTGAAGCCAAAAAGGGCCAGGGGTGCTGAGCTATGCTGTGCACATCGATCTTCCTCAATCAATAGAACCCAAAGCAATGAATGTTTCCTGATATATAGTTTACTCAATGTTTACTCATAGTTCTGACCAGTTTCCGCAGTCGCACCAAGGCAATTTAGAGAACTCAGAGACTAGATGTGCTTCACTCGGTCCGCATGGATGTAGTCTTTCAAAAAGTAAATCCTGTTCAAGCGATAACAAGCGTGAAACACTCACTGGCGGGCCTGTATAGGGCTTGCACGTTGAGAAGCATCTAGAGTATTGTATATATATATATGTATGCATAATAACGATGAAGTAAAAAAAAGAAGAGTAGAATGCTCGAAACATCACCTAGGAAGCGGAGCGTGTAGCGGTCTAGCAGCAATCCATCGCAAAGGTTGACCTGCACTATATGTTGCAACAATGCCCGGTTGACTCGTTGGAGAAGCTGAAGCAAAACCAAAACAGGTTGAAGTGTGTATTAACATTTGCAACATTTTGGCCCCAAGGCAGAGCTTGTCTTCCCGTGCCCCCCCTCCTCGGATCCTGCAGCTGGAAGCAATGTTTTTCCTTTGCTGCTGCGAGAAGGGCGAGAGCACTGGGATGGATGCTGTCCACACCATGCCAGCGAAGCCTGGAAGCGACCATTCGTTCACGACGTAGGGCGACCATTCGTTTCACATGTGACAGAGAGGTGGAATACACTTGGGGAGGGTTTAAACCCAAAGCGCTGGTGTGCTCCTTTGCCCTGAAGCAGGTGCTGTAGAAGATCTAAGCTTACTGCCTACATTGCCGACTTTCACCAAATCATCTATCTCTTCTTAAAGTCTTGAAGCTTCGGCAGCTAAGGATCAATGACACCGAAAAGCACGAGATTGTCGAGAACACACTGGAGATGCTTGGACGAAAGGTGCTGGTTTGGCCAGTTCCCAAGAAGCATGGGTTTTGGATCTCTAATTTGGCCTTATGTGGGCAAGGAGGGGCCCGCAAGAAGTGGCCAAAGCCCCGTCTTTCGAGCACAGAGTTCAGGATGCCGTAGTTGGTCCCTGTGAAAGATGTCAGACACTTATGTGCATGTTCTTCAGCGCCCCCCTATGCCATGGATGAGCCGACCTTGAGCGCGCCATGGCCATGCCATCCTTCAAGATGTAAAGAAACAGAAATTGAAGCAGCGTTTCAGGTCCAGCCTACTGAGACTGGCTGAGCATGAATAAGATTGAACAAGTAGGTAGAAGTTATGCCTCCTTGCAGCGGTTCTTTCCTGACGGCTCTCGTTCACCGATGAGAACCTGAGGATGAATGACAAGAAAGGATCCTTCACGGTGACTTGGCTGTTCAGCGCAGGTCAGTGATGCCAGCTGGACAGGGTCAGTGAACAGCTTCAGCAACTTGATGTGATTGTTTTTGCCATTCGTGACACATGTATGTTGTGAAGTTGTTGCTGATTCTTGGGCCTTTCTGAGCCATATTCAATAGAAGTCCCAAAAGGTGGTTTTGTTTGCCAACCCTATATTTCATCGAACATTTAGTTTCCCCTTTAGATGGTCAGACATTCATTGCAGTATCTAATAGATCTTTTTCGTTGGACTATGTTAGATTCTTCTTTGTGGAAAGCACATCCACAAATGGAGGAGTCATTCAGATGCAGCAACCTATCAATCAACCTCTTGCCGTTGATGTTCTCAACAATCCATGCAGAAAGATCATGATTAAGAACCCTACCAGACTCAAGTAAGTCCCAATTATATATTCAAGTAGCCAGTTAAACATACCTAGACCTTCTGTGCATATACAGTTTTTCATAGTTGTTCCCAATTGTTTTGTTCAACCGGTGTCCCGCTTCCAAATATTTTAGTTAGGTCACCCCAACCCAATGAATAACACAAGGCTACAGTAAATGAAGACAACCTTTTTTCGGGAGTGGCTAGCTCAAGTAGAAGCTATGATTTTTCGACATACATATCTGACCTGAAACATTGCTCCAAGTGTAAAAGTGAAAGACATGTTTGCAATTTGATGAAGGAGTGGTAGCATGCAAGAAATGCATGAAGAGAAACAGCAGCAAGATACAGAGAAAAGTGTGCTTCGATTCTGAGCTGAGAATCAATGCAGGCAGCTCTCAAAAGGAGCAGACATTGTGGGAATACAACAGCAACACCATACTTGAGACACCTTTGTCACGAAACGTCCTTGCCTCATCAGTTATACGATCTTATACTATGTTATATGTATAGCAAAACGGTTTTTTGTGGCTTTTGGGCACGGTCCTCATGATGTTGGACATACTGGTTCCTGCAGTCCGTGGTCTCAGCGGAACCATGTGGGGTGGAGAACCGGACCGGGGCTGCTCGAAAAGTGATCCCGAGACTACTAGTAGCTTCTTGCTACCAGTAGCACAAGGAACCTAATAGGAATGGCCTCCACCCTAATAGCGATGGCCTCCACCTAGTAGCTTTCCTGGTGAATCGCACCAGTCAGTTGAGTGCGTTGTAGGTGAATGTGAGATTGCCAGAGATGTACTTACGGCACCTGGGTGTCGAATTGGATGACGTCGACGATCGAGGCCGTCAATTGTGATGCGGAGATGGGTGTTGGTTGAACCAGCTCGTAGGATGCAACAAACGGGTGAATGAGATTTGGCCTAGTTAAATCCAGTTTACTTTCAAGATCTTTCAAGAATTGCATAGTTGCAATACATGTTAAGTTGAACCTGGTTCCTGTCCACATCAGATCAGAAACGCGACTGGCCTGGCCAGCATCCAATTTTCGCTGCATGTGTTGGGCACATCTGGACCATTCTGGACCCATTTGGACTCTGGTCATGTCAAGTCGCAGGCCCAATGCTCATGACCATCACCAGCGGCGTGATTGACACCTTCAATACGGACGGGGGCACATCCTTGTTCTACAGAAAGTCGTTGGCTGTGCTGTCGCCGGCTGCTTTACAAAAGAACGAGACAATGACGCTCTCAGTCTAACGCGGAAAACCAATGAAAACCACCCGTTCGTAGAGGAAAGCGGAAAATTGTCATCCAACCGGGCCTTTCGTTTTCCACGTTTACTGTTTCAGGGCCTATGCCCCGATGCGCACAGGGCGACGATCGGTAGAACCCGGGTGGTTCGGCAGTGGGTGGTGCAGCCGTGCCGCAGCCGTGCCCGCTGGCGTCATCGAAACGTGTGGCGCCAGGGAACCTTGGTTAGTCAACACGAACAGAACATGCCCACGCGTCTCTCAGGTAAAGCAAGCAGGTCGACGACCAGGTTTAGAGTAGCTGTCCCGGCCACAAGCTGGTCAGAACGCTGAAAAGATGTAGCTTGTGGTTTCCAAGAACTTCCCCCAAAAAAACCAACGACCAAGTCTCCGGTTCCTTCAGACCATTGGCCAAGAACCAAAAACATACAGCAACCACATTCGACATCGATCCGCAAAGGTCCCGCCATTTGGCAGGAAAATCCGACCAAAGCCATGAAGCCGTTTGATTGCATCACCGCAGTGAACGGCACCTCGGTCAAGTGTTGGAAACACCACTGCCTGCCGCAGATCCCAGCACGGCGCGGGGGCCGTCATGTGGACTTTGGATTTAACAAGAAGTATCTAGAAAGAATCTAAACATGTTGAGGAGGTTTTTCATGGGGGTTATTTATGAATCAAGATTTGACACTACTTACTGAAGGTGTCCGGAAGTCAAACTTGAGCTGCTCTGACTTCTGGGGCCTGGAGGGGACCGGCTCCGGGCTTCCCTGTTTTAAGGGTGGGAGGGATCGAAAAAAAGGTTTCTGATAAAGGACGGGATGGCCTGGCACCTGGGTTTATGCGGCCTCATTCCTCCTCATTCCGTCAGAGTCTCCTAGTGCACCTAGTGGGGCGACTGCGCCGCTACACTCTGGAGAGAGACCAAAGGGGCGTCCAATGGGAATGGTGTTCGACGTGGCATGGAGCGTCTCCCACCCAAGAAAGCGCTGGAGTGATCCCCTTTCAACACCGAGCCCCGCACAGCTCCTACGCGCTCCGCGCGGTCACGCCAAGGAAAGACTGGCGACAAGAAGCTTCTCTTAGAAACATTGAAGGCAGCGATGAAGTCCTCAGAGCCTCGGCCAGGCTGAAAGCGCCAAACTGCCGGCTTGGGGCATGTGACGTCGGCTTGGTGCATGTGTTGCTTGATGAAATCTGGGGGAATGTTGATTTCACCAATGGCCATTGTTGCCAGCCTTCTCCCCCTGTAATCATTCTAAATTCTATACCTATGTGCACAAGCGAGAGCATTCATGGAGATGTGAGATGATGTGCGGGGCGGGCGGGCCCACTTCGTGCGCTGCTCCAAGACAAGCTTTGATGTGCCCTGCCCTAAGTTTCAGAGTGGCGTGAGATGGTGGAACGGCTAATTTTAGAGAACAAATGAGTTAGCTCCTCTCTATATACCTGTCACCTGTCTATACGATATATGTACATGCAATTGTTTTGTTTGGACATGAACGTGTGGAAGCCACGGCTTTAGTACAGCCTCCAACGACCCCCTTGCTGCGCATTCCCTTCCACATTCAAAGTTTGAATAGCAAGAACATCCATGATATCAGCTACCCAAGCAATCTCATCCTCTAAGTAAAATGTGGGGACTACTTGGATGTCATGCGCAGGGGAGGTCAAGCAACAGAGGAAAGTCTTGAGTGCTGTGGAGTTTCAGCCGTTGAATTGCCGTCATCGGCGGCACACTCACGTGTCACACGTGTGACTACAGGAGAAGAGTTTGCATTTGACCTTGGCGCGTCCTACCCCGTACAAGATCATCTTGGAAAAGTCTTCACTTCGCCTCGGTGGCTTGGCCCAGATAGCATTTCACAAGCAGACTGGCTTTCCAAGACCGATGTTTCATGGGGCCATTGATCCAGGACACCCAACCTTGGGTGGTCTGTTATTCAGAGTGAGGAACGTCGTTGTAAGGGCTGTTTTGGGGAACTTGGAGAAACTCAGGTGCGCAGTTGAACTACAAGCCATCCTCTCGTGGGAGCCGAAGCTGCAAGAACTTCCTTCCTTGTCCAATGTCTTTTGAGATGATTGCACCTGGCTGGATGGGCACTCAAAACGAACAGGGCAGAAAACTCGCTGGATCTACTGCATGGTGTTTGGAGTTATGCCAGAGGGAGCACTATTTGTGGGACATGTTTGATTCCGCTGCATGTTGCGTTGTTTTGTTTCCTAGTGTGGCCTTGTTACTGTTGAGCTCGGTTTTGCTTCCCGATGAAGGTTCACAGCTCCATTGAAGTATTTGTATATAACTAGTTGCATTCGCAAATCACTTCAAATCACTAGACTTGGTGCCACTGCGTGTGTTTCTTCGTGCTTTGACGCCCCTTGTTGTGGCCTTGCAGTTTGTGAGATCGAGTGTTCTTGAGGATTAGTTTGGCCCAAATCGCGGACGGAGGACTGCCATAATTCTGCCTTTTTTTGCAGCCATTCTGGCTTAGGGTCACAACGGTCTCCCACTCCACACTGCGACTCATTAACGTGGAAACCACCCTTTTCTGGAGCAATAATCGCAGAACCTTGGTGCCTAAAGAAGCCTTATCTTTGCTGCTTGAATGGAAGAAGCACTGTTTCTTGCCGAATTCCCATACCACAGTTGCAGCCTTGGAGGACGCTTTGACAAGTGGAATCAAGACAATCCTGACGTTATCGTCAACTTGGCTTTGCTTTGGAAATCGATTTCATGTCATTCGGTGTGTTGCTGCTGTCTTTGTGATATCTTTGGTGTCGCAGTTGGCGCAGTTGGCCACATGGCCGTTGTGGAACGGCATTCGTCACAGGTGAAAGTTGGAGACCGCATCATCGAAGTGAACGGTGTACGAATGCTGGGTGACATGGCAGGAAGCAGGAAGGTGATGCGACCGGTCCACATGGTCCCACACAGTGTCCCACACTTCACGTTCGTTACTCCGTCGTGTTTTTAGAGAGGGCTACAATGAAGTAACCGTTTCATTCCACAAACTCAATTGGAGGAAAGTGAGAAGCCAAGCCCGCTAGTTTGGACACATGATGAGTGGGAATGGCCTGACCATGTTAGTCTTTCAAGTTCAAGTTCTTGGATTCCTTACGGTGTTAGGGCACTCCCGCTTCTTTTGGTCGTGGCCGCAGACTGCCGGATGCCTCCCCAACCATGTTGGTCGGTTGGAGCCCGGCTGTTGCCAGGAACCGTCGTCCAACAAGACCAAATGCAGCCGTTCTTCGGTCTGGTGGTCCGATGGAGTCGAAGGTGGTCCGATGGAGTCTAAAAGACATCAAAGACAGTTGGCTGCTGTGGTGCCACAGACTTGGCCACAAATCGTCCAAGGTGGTGAGATGCTCGGCGAGTTGAAGAAGCAGGCCCAAACGTCAGCGAACGTGAGCGATCTGTGGAGGCTTTTGCAACCATGCGTTCATACAAGTACAAGCAGTGTACAAGTGAAGCTTGTCATGGCCTTGTGAAACTGCAAATTGCAATTTGGATACGTCAGCTTCCTTTAGAGGGAGCATTGCAGGATGAAGATTTGACGTTGACCCTTTTGCGATACTGAGCAGCGACGAACTGAGGCTAGGATAGGCTAGGCAATTCCGTGGAAACTCGAGATGTTTTATTGCTGACGGCAGTCCGTTCCCCATGTAGCTTCCTGAATCGTGTTCACCTGACCTGAGGAAGACAATGATTTTTATCCCCAATGTAAGCTCAGCATTTCTTGGCTTCCATACATCACAAGACTTCCGTCGCCTTGCCTCGCCTTGCACAAGGCACTCTTGTCTCAAACACATATTGGCCAGGTGGTTTCAGGTACCTGCCTCGCACTGCTAACAAGTACAAACAGCCAATATCGTATAATATCGTATTTCCTATTCCTATGGTCAATTGTTCTTTCCTGTTGATTCATTTGCAATAAATGTGCAGATCAAAGGCAGGAATATTGCAAGCTGTCAGAATTCTTAAGGAATGCTTAATTCATGACGAATAGTGTGAAATCACAGCAAAATAAAATGTGCATAAATAAATATGCATGAAAATCAACATCGTGTATATGTTATTTTCTTGCATTGAATTTGTACATTATATATATATAATTTACTTATTTTATCTACAATAGTTAATTTTCAGTATAAATAATTACATAAAGTGTGGATTTTATGAGATTTTGTGATGTGATTAGATATGGCCGATGGATTTTCGTATGTTTTCGTGCAATTATGGGTTTAAAGTAACTCTTTCAAATTAATTTTTACGTATTATAAAATGAATTATGAAACGTAGCCGATAAGTTAGCTGGAGAATTTGATGGGCGAACGATATGAATATTAGGGAATATGGGATGGGATTTGGAAGGGGAGAACGAAAAAATGGTGGCGACTAACAAATAATAAAATTATTATATTATGAATAAATATTTATAATATAACTATTAAATAATCGGTATTAATATATTTTTTGTAAAATCTTGGGGGATTGCAATGTTTTGAAAATATATATTTAAATAATGTTTTTTATTAATATAGATATGTATAAATATTAATTATATGTTTTAGATTTTATTGATATTTCTATAACTTATAAAATTGGTTTTGTGTATTGAAATGATGTTATAGTATATTTTGATGGTTTATATGTTTTTTAGATAATATGAATATATATATATATATCTATATATTGGATATTTAATTTTATAGAAAAATTAGATAGTATAAAATCTTATAGGATTTTGTTATTTATTTATATTTGTTTAATAAAATTATTTGGAAATTGGTATTTTTCTGGGTAAATATATTTATATATTAGATATTTTTTATTTTAGGATTTATATGTGTATAGAATAAAAGTACGAAAGGTAGTCCTTTAGGGAATATTTTGAGTTTGATTTGCGAGGCGAATGTGGGTTTAATAATTGAACATTTAATTCGCCCCTCCCCTTCGAATTGATTTTTTAATATAAACCCTTCTCCTCCGCTTCCCTTGGAATTGATTTTTTTTTGTTTTTAAATATAGATCTTCTCCTTTTTAAATTTAATTCTTTCTTGGAGAACATCTTCGTGAGCCTTTTATGATTTCGGGATAATTGAAATTTAAATATTTAGAAAGAATATGTAATTACGAAAGGTATTCTCCGAAGCAATATATACCTAGAATTTTTGTTTTGAGTAGCACATTAATTCTCTTGGGAAACGTTTTCGTGAGCCTCTGATGATTTTAGGATAGTTTAAATCTTATGATGTTCCGATTTAATATTTATTGATGATCTGAGCTATGGGGCAAATTTCTTTTCTTCATAATCTTTTTGAATATTTCGAGAGCATATATTTGATTATTTAGAGTGTATATGAACATATTTACGACAGGTCGCTTCCGAGGGGATAAATCACCATATCGAACATTGCATTTATGTTCCTGTCTCTCGTATTCTTTTCTCTTCTCGTTGTCCTACCTTTCGTGTCTCCTTCCTCTCAAGTTATAATTGAAAAGGAATCATTATTTGAAAGGAATTGATTTTAATATTGTATATTAAAATTATTATTCCGAGGTATGGATTAAATATTAATAATATATATAATCTATATTTTCTAAAATATATGATAATAATTATTATTCAAATATATTTAATATATTTTATAATTAAAATAAATAGGAAATTTAAATGGATACAATTAAATTTGTATATTAAAATGAATGAATTTATAATTATATCGAAAGATATTACAATAATTCAAAAATAATATATATTATTTTTTATTTATTTTAATTTAGATATTATTTCCCTTGATTTAATCATCAAAATACCTTTTTAATCCCCCATTGATATATATATTGATGAATAAATATATCCAAACGCGCCTACAGATTAATAAATTTGCAACCCTCCTCACCAAATTTTGCAATTCCGTTTTTTAGATTAATCTAAGATGCTATTGCCCATTTTCGACGATTAGGCAGACCTTGAAATCAATTGTCATGATTATCATGGGATTTTGACCGTCCTCCACGGTGGCCAGTGCCCAGATTTTATAAAGAAAAAAGATCACATAACAATATTCAATATATTTTAACCACAATATTTCCATTTCTGTCCGACAATTCTCCATTTATATACGACGTTTCCGATATACCTAAGAAATTCATCAGCACAAAAGCCAAATGCAACACAGACATCAAATTGCATAAATTAAATATATTAATAGGATTTATATTGATAATAAAGTCTATATTGCCATCAATCCTTATCAAATATTATTGTTAATTCAATCGAAACCTTAAAATAACAATAAATCATCCAATAAGAATAATATATTATTAATTCAAAGAAATATCACCCGTAATATACGCCATAAATCTCAACATAATCACCATTCCAAATCTTATAAAATAATGAAAATTAAACATCAATATGTCAATAACATTCCATAAAATAAATTCATTAAATATATATTCCTAATTTTTCATATGTTAATATATTCCATAAAAAACATGATTGATTAATTAATTTCAATATTGAATATGAATAACATATCTTAAATCATCCAAATACAATATATATATATATCAAATAAAAATATATATAATATCGTATTATAGATTAATAAATCAATATCATCAATCATCATATATTGGGATATCCCCCAGATTGGGTTCTAGGTTGGCTGGGCCAGGCAAGCCTTTCTTTCCTTTCTTTCTAAATCCTTTCGTGGGGCCTGCCGTGGGTTGGGCCCTTCCTTTCAAATCCTTTCGTGGGGCTGGTGGCTGGGCTAGGGCTGGATTAAGGCCGGAGAGGCCGAGAGAAGGCGGGAGGTTCCTTTCAAATCCTTTCTTGGAAGTAAATCTGGTAGTCGATTTCGTCCATTTATTGGGTTTTTCTAGTGTTCGATTTCGTTCAATTTTTTTCTAAAATTATTCTAGTGTTCGATCGCGTACAATTATTAGGTGTTTCTAATGTTCTAGTTCCTAATTGTATCCAAATTCGTAATTAAAAGCGTCAATTTCGATTTCGTCCAAATTATATATATATATAGATCTTTAATATTCAATCTATTTAAATAATATTTTTTAATTCTCGATTTCATAATTATTTCAATTCAATATTATTTAGATAAATAAAATATAATCATATTATAATTATAATTTTCTATTATATTCATTCTTTCCATCTTTAATATTAGTTATCTTTCTTTTTCTATATTTTTCTATTTCCTTTCCATCTTTTATAATTTAATATAAATAAATATAAATATTTTAGATCTTTATATTTATTTAATATATATTTAATATATTTTCTAATTTAAAATATTAAACAATTTTAAAATAATATAATAAATCAATATATTTAATATATATATATTTATAAATT